AGGTGAAGAATTTCAGGAAAAGCTCTGTAGACATGGCAAAATATCACACAGAAGAACAAAACTTATGTCAGATGAATAGTTTACTTGTGTATTGTTCTAAGCAGTTTCTGTCAATTTAAATTTAGTACAACAGACTGGGTAAGTGTAAACTTCATACCATTGAATCAAGGGCTGTACTTGACAGAGGCTGTGTTTCAATTTCCTGAGGCTGAAGGTGAAACTAAAAAAAACAAAACTGAAAACAAAACCTGAACCAACTAGTTTCTTACCTGGATTCTCCAGAAACCTAWGGAGGGAGAAAGCTAATATTGAAAATGTATTTTTGAGGATTTGCATTTTTTGCTTAGTAAGTCAGCCCCCTCTAAATGGGGTTTTTAGATTGTTAGGGAACTAGCTGCTAAATATCTCAGATAGCGTCACAGGCACTGCGCGTTTCATTTTGTAGTCAGAAGAGCTCAGAAGTTCTTACCAGAGTTAGTACATTTGAGCTGGGACATAATCTCCATGTTTTTGYGTTGCAACAAAGAAATTGTTCACTGWGGTTTTCTTTCTGTGTATTTATTTCCAGTCATAATTGGAAGATGAAAATGATGCATTTTTGTGTTTCAAAAGTTGTTTCTCTGGYTCATTGTGTTACAAGCAGCCTGAGTTTTGTTGGAATGTGCCCTTATGTACAATTAATTCTATAGTGTGRTGTTTRTGRAATCCTTTTCATTTTGAAAGCTAARAAAGTRTATATTGCAGGTGTATTCCAATGGCACCTCACTTAATGGATTTGAAATTACAAGAGCAAGCACTGTCAGCTTCATTTTGTCTGCTGCTTTATGCTTCACTCACTAGCACTGTGACAGAGTAACTTCCAGGGGTGTGTTGGGCASCTTTCTATAGCCATGAGTCAGTCCCTTGGTAGGTTTGTGTACCAGCCCTTTTGCAGAAAATGAAGTTGTTTTGTTGCCATTGCATTCCTTGACTTCAATAGGAGCAGAATTACATCCAATATATTAAGCCATTTGCAAGTGTCTCATCTTGATGCCAAATGTTGTGTTCTGACAACAGAGGCAATTTCAGCACTAAAGCTTTAATAAATGTTGGCTGTTAGACTTGCTTCATTTTGCAATATTTCATCTGTGTGTTCACTATTTAAAAGTGGTTTTCTTTCTGAGCCTTAAAATAGTGTGCTATTTTCTTCCACAATAATCTAGGTGTATTCCTTATTAAGAACTGCACATCTGTACCTGCAAGTTTTTCAGCAATAAAACTATTGGTGGGGTGTACATATTCTTCTGAACATTTCTTGATTATTTTCTGAAGTGATTTTCCTTTTTCATGTGTTTCATATTTTGAAATTGAAGTAGTAAACCAGCCAGTTTTGCTACAGTACATCGTTGTCTTAAAGGCATTTGGAAATGAACATCTGAAATAAATCCTTCTCCTAAAATACTTTCAGGGTTTTTAGTTTTCCTTTAGCRATGATGAATGTTGACACTCATAGCTTTTAGATTAGAAAAATGTTGAAAAAGCATTTATATTTTTCCTCTATTGCTCTGAATAGAAAAATGGAGGCATATGTTTTCAGAACTGTAGGATTTAGTTAAAAGCTTGTAAAGCTTTTCACATCTTCTTTATAAGGAATTCAGTCTTTGCCAGGTTGCATTCACTTTGGACAAAAACAAACATGAAGTTACTTTTAGACATSGTTTTACACAGGGAGCTATTAGAGTTCACTTGTTTGAGGTTCCTGAAATGCAGTTCCTCCACTGGGCTTAGTGAGCTTGGCTGCCTCCCACCTTTCCTCCAGCCTGAGCTCAAAAAAGATGGTTCTTTCATCACACCTAATTTTAAATACTCCAAACCTACAGTTTCCACTGGTGGGCTTACTAAATTAGTATTGCAWTTGTAGCTCCTGTGAAGATTGTAGTCAAAATATTAGTTTCCATATAATATTTTRGTAAATCCTAATTAGAATATTTTTGTTGGCTACTGAGTATTTTCTGAAAAATACTGAGTAATTTGCCTTTCTGGTGAAGGCCACAGTGATGCAGAACACTGAAAATCTGTGATTTCTCATCTCTCTCCAAAGCTTTTTGTGTTGACTAAGTTTCATTACATGTAAACGTGTGTCCTATTTTTCCTCTGCAGTTGTCCTACTTCATAGCTTTCACTTATTGAATGGCTGAGTCGTTACTACAGCCGTGATRCAGTGTGTGAATGGTGCAACAGAGATACACACACACCTGCATTGTTTAAAAAGTAGTGGAACACCAACCACTGCTGCTGTTCCTGCCTCAGATGGGCTTTATGGCAGGTTGTGCAATAGCAGATGAATACTGTGCCCTGTAACAGAGAGGTCTCTGAGGCTGAGCAGCTYTCCTGATCTTGTTGCTGCTTTTCACATGGGAGATTTTCTAAATAAACATTTAAAAGAGCTTCTTACTAGAAATTGTTSCAATCCAGCCTACTTAAGTAGGGATTGTATTCATGCTTAATTAGGCTTTCCTCTTTTTAATGCTTATAAAATAAAGCCCTTTCAAACTTTTAGTTGATGTGACCTGAAGGTGACCTGGATCTTTATAATGGTTGGCTTTTCAAGCCTGTTGGATTAAACAGATGTAAAGCAGAAATCTGTGGAAAAACAGACTGACTATCCCAAGCTGGAAATTTAGAGACTGGGGGAAAAATTTATTTGCTGGGGGAAACAGAATGTATAACCCAATATTGTTAAGACTCTACATTTTATTATAAGAAGCTCTTAACTCATCACTTTTTTTTTCTGATTTTGTCTCTTCAGAAGTCTTCTTTCCTGTTTGCTTCCTGTTTCAAAAACTAGGAATGGTGATAAAGAGCAATTGTTAAACATTTGGAGTGCTTTGCTGTGCATTTTTCACGTAGGAATGTTAACAAAATTTTGCTGAGCAGCATCTGCTGATGCTAATATTTTAATAAGTGCAGGAATACCAGGGACTAACCTTGATGAATTCTGGGAAAAAAAAAACAACCCACCTAAATCTTGGCTCTGCAGGAAAATGGGTAAGTTCAGGACAACATTAATCCCACGCAGCGAGTGTGAAACTGTTACTGGCAAAGGATTGGAGAAATGCAGTGTGGTTGTCACTGATCCATGTGGCTATTTGGAAAATAGTCTTTTTCAGAAACTCTATCCAGTACTCTGTAGTGCTAAGAAGAAGATTTTAGGAAATGACAGTGTGCAACTGGGGTCATACAGCTTTCCCTGCTCCATACCTCCTCCTCCTCCTCCTCTCAGTACCAGTTTCCGCTTTTTTTTTGACTAATTGGAACAGCCAGGAAATGATCCCATAGGTAAAACTGCTTTTCTTKCCATCTTTAAAAATACATTTTGAAGTGCTGCAGGAATATCGAGGTTGTGTCATGARCTGGCTTGGCAGTAGTGAGAGGAAGAGCAGCAGATGTACAAACCTTACCTGYGTGCAGAGACCCAGGGAGGTTGTTTTGGGAATGGTTTTGTGGCCTGTCTTATTGGAAGCTCCTGCTGACAGTGACCTTGCTGCCTGTGGGCACAATCAGAGCGGGAGGTTGTCTCTYTTCTGCAAGCTGAGACCTTTCTTTCCCAACCGGCAGCTGTTAGGGCTCCTTTGAAGTTATTTGGTAAACTGAGTCATAGGAAAGATTCTGAGCTATTTGTGTAGGAGTGAAAGATGCCATGGGAATTTCTGCACGAGACCTCCCTGAGCCTGGTTGTTGAGGCCTAAAATTGTTGGCGGGAGTGAGCTCTGGTAATTACTAGCCTTTTCTGAAATCATTTCCACCCTGTTTTCTTGCAGAGAAATGCAGTTGATGATGCAGCTAAACATAAGCGATCCTGAGTGTGCTTCTCTATTTTCCTTGCACTTTCATTTATTTCCT